TTGTTTTATTGGCTTACCTAGAAAGTGCGCCCACGTCGGATGTATCTCGCGTGTTGGAGGGAGCGAGGACTTAACACTTGGTTTGTAGGCCCCGAGGTCTTCTTATGTGAATGATTTGGAGGTTATTCTTCCAAATAATCTTTGGAGAGCCCTATTTCTTTAAATAATTATTTGCCCAATATCTTTTTACTCTTTTATTTGCAAGTAAAAAAAAGTAAAATTACACCGCTAAATTTTAAGTTCTTTAGGCATCATGATTTGAACTCTAAAGTTCACTTAATGTTAAAGTTGGTTCATATAAACGAGTCGATAAACATTCTTGTAAACGAGATAATAAATGAGTTTGTTTATGAACATAAACGAACCAAACACACCTCTATTCATGTTCCCTCGTTTATTAAATGAATATATATTTTTTATACTTGTTTATCAGCTTCATAAATGAGCGATTCACGAATAATCCATCAAACAATATGTTCATTTGCGTTCTTATATATCTAGAGTGTTTTTTGATTAGTTATACAAACTAATATTAAAATTAATAATTTTCCAAATTGATATTTAATTTTTTAGGATACAAAATTTCATAAATTTAGAAGAATTCCAAAAACTTTATAAAGCTAAGAAGATTTGGTAAAATATAGTAGAAATAGGAAAAATTTATGAGAGGTTCATATACTTTTGAAAAAAATTCAATGTGGTTTATATATATTTTTTCTCTTAATGTAGTCCTTTGTCTCAGAAAATAAATCTAATTGACCAACATTTTTTTATTATTAGCTGTTACAATACTTGTTAGAGTATGCCCAAAGACCAATCATATGATGATTGTAATAATACTTTTATTTACCGATTTTATTGAATAAAGGCATTGCCGCTATTATTTTCATTTATATATATGTGTTTAACATAAACTGTAAGATAATAAAGTCCATATAATGACATAATTGTTATTATTAAAAGATCCCTAGTCAAGTTTTATTATGGGCATGGACAATAATAATACGCTTAAGACTAACATGTTATTGATTGATGACAATGAGTTGTCATTGACATATAGATGTCAGAATTGATACATGATTATATTGTTAGAGAACAATGTATTGGATTGACCGACCATGAGCATATGTCTTGTATTATTATGTGACAGTCATAACATTGCTCATGGTGATGACTATATGTATGATCATCAGACTTGAGATCAATACTATCCCAACATATATTGTTGTATGTTTTGATGCAACTAAACAAGCTCCGTAACTAGTTGCTCTATAAAGACTTCTAATAATTACTGCTAACGTTACAAGAACCTACAAGGTCACACCCTAGGATTGAAACGAGCAAAGATGTACAATTTGTTGTACGTTACTAAAATATATATCTAGAGTTAATTAAATATATGTTTTAATAATCTCGAATATTTAATTTCAATTAATTAAATATAGATTTAATTAATTTGAAATAATAAAATCCCTAATATGATTAGGGTAACTTGGATATAAAAGGATTATTAAATTCCAATTAATTAAATATAGATTTAATTAATTTGAAATAATAAAACCCTAATATGATTAGGGTAACTTGGCTATAAAAGGGTGTGTTAGGTCTAGCAGCCGTTTTAGAAGACACACACAAAAACCTTCAGCCGTTTTTCTCTCAAAACTGTTTTGGGGAAGAAAAATATTGCTCTTAATCGGGTGAACTGAGTAGAGGACGAGACATGATTTCGTGGAGGCTTACGATTCGAACCGATCTGCACCACTAGTATTCATTGTTGTCATTGCTGTTTTTCAAGGAACCCGCTGTAAGTATTCGCATCTCTTCCACCCGATTTCAGTTTTTCGTACTTGGATCGCTGGTGAGACCGTCGAGTTTTGTTTCCGCTGCGCCATGGGGTGTGTCGACGGTCCCAACAATACTGGCGTGTCAGTTCACGGCACCGACGTGGCAGTCAGTCTACTATGTTTGAGTTACCAATTTAGTTCATTTTCCTTGTCATCCGCCACATTAACCTATCAGCATGGATTACCACGCTAACTCCGTGAATTATTTATTAGTATCGTAATAGTCAACGACGAAAACACGTTGGTCAAAGGGTCACATTAAATTTATTTTTCGAGTTAGAAGATCACATTAAAAAAATAATAATACGAAAACCACATTAATTTTTCTAAAAGTTAAGAAACCTCTAATATTTTTTAACGTAAATATATAGTTTTAAGAGAGAAAATTCGAAAAAGATAACAATAATATAAAATCATATAATATTGTATTTTCTTGTTCTAAAAGAAAATAAGTGTTGGTTTCCTCCAAGCAGAAGGGAGGACTCTAAAGAGAGACCATTATAAGGAACGCAACTGTAAGGAAAGAATGTATACATGCATTTTTTTATATGACAATATTTATTGCGGTAATTAATTATATAGATATGACATTATTTAAAATCATGGTAATAATAATAAAAGAGAAGTAAATGTTTTCTTATTGATAAATCTGAAGTAAATATAAAATAATATATTTAAAAAATTTAATTATTTGTTAATGAATTCTTATATATATATTTTTTATATATGATAAATTCTTGTAGCCGAGTTTGAGCAGGAGAAACACATGTCCAAAGTCCAAAATCATGAACTCCACATATAACTAAATAAATGATAAATTATCTGTTTAATTACTTACCTATCATTTTATTTATGTCTTGGTCATCCAATTATTATTATTTCAAATCATATTTAAAGTTATATTTTCTTTCTTTATTTTGGTCACTCGTCATTAACAAATTAACGGTGATACTGGTGTGGTATTTTTTAAATTAATTTTTTTCTTTCCACTTAATTATTCTTTTACAATTTTTTTGACAATACGAAAAAGGTTAAAATCGAACTTACAACATGTAAATTTTGCGAAATGTAAGTAGGTTTCGTCAGATCTGTTGTTAGAGATATAATGACATTAATTAAACTGATTAAATTATAAAAGAAAATGATTTAGAGTAGGGATTTAAGGTAAGTTTGGTTTAAGTAAGAAGAAACTAAAAAAAGTGTTTTCCAATCGAATCGTGACCGAGAATGGAGGGGTTAATATAATCATTGAAGGGGATATCATATTTATCGTAAATCCATTAATCGATCTGTAATATGATATTTTGGTGATTAAATAGATATTCAATGAGTGTGAATATAGCTGGTACACCCTCAAAATTTCTACAATCTTTTTTCATTTAAATATGTAATATATGAAAAAGAAAAATTGACACCTCATAAAAAATTTGATCCTATATTTTTTAAAACTAGTTTATAAAATATTTAATAATAAAAAGATTTAAATTCTATTTTGACCCTATTAACACCTGTCCTTCCCGGAATATATTATTATTATTATTATTAATAATATATTAATTAATGTAAAACAAAAACGTAAAATCATCTCACAAATATAATCATATCATAAAATCTGTTTTTTTATAAATAAAATCGTTGTAAATATGTACAGTTAGATTAATGAGTTAAAACTCAAATAAAAATAGAGGAAGATATTATTTAAATATTTTTATAATAAAATATTATTAATAAATTAATTAATTTATAAACAAGTCAATAAAATAATTTTGTTCATGAACATAAACGAACTAAATACATCTTTTTTCATGTTCGTTCGTTTATTTAATGGATATAAAAATTTTATTCATAATTATTTATTTAGCTTAATAAACGAATATAAACAAATTGTTCACGAACAATTATTGAACGTTCTATTATTTTACATCCTTATTTTAATCATACAACAATAACAACAGTAATAAAACCCTGATTCCCATATGCAATGGGATAAAAGAGAAGTAAGGTAGTAGACTGACCCCAACATCAGATTGAGAGCAGTTTCCGTAGAAGATCTCCGGCAGTCAAATTATTTTAATCATAAAATACATTAATTTATGAGATATTACTATTGTGCATAATGTTTTAATTTCTTTAATTATGACATTGTAATTTACTCCGTCCCAAACATATGCTACTTACCAGATCTCCGGCTCTCAAAATTCACTACGTGAACAAGGGTAAACAAAACAGCACACGCTCACCGAGCTTTATGAAGGACCATTTTGATGAGCCAAAATATATTAAAAATGAAATAATTCTTCAATTAAAAAAATATAACAATTCATTATTTTTTTTAAATCATGATAGTTAAAATAATATAACAAATGATGAAAAATTCAAAGATAAATTTCAGATTTTTTAATAAGAAAATTAATTCATGTCTTTTAACTGATATTATAAATTTATTATATTTTTAACAAATTCTAAATTTAACTAATCTAGATTTAATCATAAGTAAAGAAAAATGGGACTTTAGGAGAAAGAAGGAATACTCCTGCCAATTGAGTGTTGTCACAAGTGGTTGAGATTCAGGAATTTAAGCTTGTAAGGCCAAGTTTGAATCCCACCACCGTCACTCTTGGTGGGCAATCTGTAAAGTCCTATGTAAATTCCAATTGGGTCTTAGGTATGCCAGAAGCCACCACTAACCTAAACTTTTTATGTACAAAAAAAAAAAGGAATACTCCTAGTAGGTCTAGAAACTATGATATAAAGAAATATTAGAAAACAAAGATGAGCAACTTAATCAACCAACAAAGCAAAAATGTTTGCTCATTAATATAATTCATGAATATATTATGACAAGGAATAGACATGTATAATATATATTGGATGAGTTTCAAGATCTACGTGGATGGTAGAAAAAGAATAATGTTAGTCTTGTGGGTGGCGGGACGAAAATTTTCCTACACCACCCGCCCAATCGACATGTCAGTTAAAATGGAATGCGGTAGCAGGGAACTCTCTACTCCTTGAAATGTCACCCTGACTAGGCCACACCTTAGGACGGTCAAACCATTCCAGCACCTGATAGCTCTAATACATGTCGAGTGATTCAATTATGTATTCCAACGAATAAAAGATAATTTGGAACCTATTGTTTATTTTTCACATACTAATAGTTTTCATATTTGGGCAAAGGACCAAAGAATCTATACAACAAACAATGTATGGAAAGCGTAATTGAATCCCTCGTACAACAACAAAGCTCTAAAATGAATTCAGATATACATAAAATACCATATGCCAAAACCATGACTTTCTTGGAATGCAACCACGATAAATGTAATTCTTCATGTTTAACTAAACATACTCTGATTTCCAGACACTGGAAGAGGTTGTTCTATGACCATGTCTCATGGAAGAAAAGCTGATATTTTACAGCATTTCAGTCTGCCAAAAATCAAATCCAAGTTAGGGTGCCATTGTACAAATATGACTACAGAAAAAGTATTTTCAAATTGACCATGAAGATACAATACCAAAAAAAGAATGAATGAATGAAAGTATTATTACACCATGTAAACTTATATGCTACAAAAGAACACATGTTAGTAGAACCACAAGATTATTCAAATTTCAAACAGATTAAAATGGAACAAAATTAAGATAGCAATATTGAATAATGTGTGACCATCGGAACTTGCTAGGAGTTTCTTCCACAGAAAATGATTTTAGCGTCACAAGTTATATATACCAGAAGTTTATAAATAAAATACATTTCTAGTGTTTTATTTCTAGCATTTACCACTACCTCTTTTCTCTTACAACTTATTTACATGATTTACTTTACCTTATTAGCTAAAGAGAAAGATAATATAGCTTCTTGTCTTATATTGGATGAACAAACTCCAAAATAGATAATCAGAATTCCATAAGAAAATCAAATGATCCTATAATCTCCTACAAAATATTTCTGAAAACAAATGTTGCTTCAGCCACCCATCTTTCCAAGCCCCTGCCCCCTGTGAGTTTCACTTTACTGAGCTTCAAATTAGTATTCAAATATATAACATTACTTCCAACCACTTCAAGCCTGAAAGATTGACCACCAAGCCATTCACAGTTAAAACTAGTTAACTACATAGTTGTAAGCATTAAGTTCAGAAAACAAACAACTTATAATACCGTCCAAAATCAATATGGCAAGTATCCACATAATGAAGAGAGTCCCCTTGAGAAAATTATTAGCAACTATATGTGGTAAATGTCGTGTGAAAAGTAAGTAAAAAAACCCTTTGTCATTACTGTAAAGTTTAGTTTCTATATTGGCAGCTAAAGCTACAATTCACTTATGAAGCTTAGCAGCTTAAACAAGTTCAGACTTCCCCCTTCCTTCAAACACTTGAGATAGGGATTCAACATGTCCAGTTCTCCACGGAGCAAAAAAATGCAAGAACCTTGATCTATACCTTTGTAATAACTATACTCCTATTATAGGGATGATGACCAAGCTGTATGTGTTAATAAGTGCACAAAGTGGTTAATCATCTCAAGTTTTTTCTCAAGCTCAGTGCCCCTAATTAGTATATTTTACAAATGTTTGGAAAACCAATTAATCACATCAAAAATAAACTCAAAGAAATAATATGAAAAAAATATTCAGGCATAACATTCGCCCACTTGGGACTATAAAAGAATGCATATATCTAATTACTTCGATCAATATTTTCTAATCAAAGTCACATAAATTATACATATAGTTTGTTAACAAATGTTGCAGAACCTACGACCCTCAAGGAGCATCATTATAGAGATGAAAATTTTGATGATATTTCATGCTTTAGAAGCGTTCTCATTCTATTCCCCACATTCCTGATTTCCTGTAGTCATGCTCTACAATGGACCGAAGGCCTATAACCAAAACTCAGATGACTGTCTTCATTGTGTATTTATGTAATTGTGTTAGCTACAAAACTAATTTGGTGAGCACGTTCACCATACATGGTACACTATAACCCAGATTTTCAGCACAAGCAAATTGAAAGCCACCTCAAAGAAAAGGATATAATGATTAACATAATTGTCAATAAAAAAAAAGGAACAAAGAATACTCACATTTCTCAATCCAAATCTTCTTGCCTGGTCTGCGCATTATCACCTGATCCTGAACCAGACCCACGGCCCCGAAACGGCCAAGGCAGCGATATCCTATAACTCCTCTCCACCGTCTGATTATCCTCAGACCTCTGGCCATTATCACCCTCGCTACTATTGTCGTCGTTACCTCCAGCAGTACTCTGTGCCCCATAAACCCTCCCCTCATAATCAGGATCATCAGTAGGCAACTCGTGACGACACACAGGGCACGAATTATGCATTTCCAGCCACGGCAATATGCAATCTTTGTGATAACGATGCTTACAGGGCATTTGCTTCGCTTCAGTCCATTCCTCGAACTCGTCCATACAAACCGCGCACTGGTTGAACTCTGAATTCAGGTTGTTCTTCGCTATCTTCACCGTAGGCAGCGCTTCAATGGCTGATTTAGATGCCGGTGGGGTCCCGTACCGGTTGGGATCGTTTTCGGCTAGCTGTTGAATCAGTTGCTCGAGCCCGGGTCCGATGAAATAATCCCCGAGGTTTGCTGGAAGCCGAAAGCCCGGATCGGAGGGATTATTCTGGATCACGAGCTCGATTTGGGCTCCTCTTGAATGGAGATCGTTAAGATGATTTTGGATGAAGGTAAACGGATCGAAAGAGAATGGGTCACCTCGGCCTGACCGGGTCGGTCCAAATAGGTTGGGGTTATGAAGGTCAATTGAAGCAGGGGATGGTGAAGAAGGAGTTGTGGAAGAAGAAGGAAAAAGGAGGGGGAGAAAGGCAGAGAACGGATCCGATACCGACAGTAAGGGATCGTTTGGGTTCGGATTCGGATTCGGGTTTTGGAAGGTGGAACCTGGATAAAGGCTAGGGTTTTCGTATTCTTCGAGGAATCCCTCGTTGCATATTGGACAAGACGGGTCAGCTGAAGGGGTGATTGTTATGGTCACCGTACGGTTACATTGGTAGCAAAAGAAATCCTTATTGGTCGCGCCGTCTGTGTTTGCACCGTCTGTGTTAGCGCCGCCACCGCCGCCGTCGAACGACATGTTTCAGGTCTAAGATGGTTTCAACGGGACAACCAGAGAAATGAATTTTGATTTTAATTTTTTCTTCTATATATATACACACACGCGACGGTTAAAAGAAGTGTATAAAATTTACTTTTTTATATATTTTTTATGAGTTAGTATTCATCTCAACTCATTAAATAATTTTAATATTCAAAAGATTATTTTTATTTAAAAAAAATTAAATTTAAATAATTACATCTACGAAAAATGTATTGTTTTCATTTTACATGTTGTTTGTGTATGTATATGTGTTTCTCCATATATTATGTAAGTATTATATGTGAAAATATAATTAAGGTTATGAATTCGACATTTATTTAAAACATTTATATAATTCATTTGTGTGTTATATGAATATTATGAAATTAAAAAGTTAAAGTCGTAGTTATCTTGTAAGAATAGTTGGCAACTAATCATAAGGTCATTAATGTTTATGGGTTGTATAGGGCGGGGCCGGCCCTGGGGCAGGAGAGGCGTCCGCCCAGGGCCCATAAAATTCAGTCGGCTTAGTATATATGTTTTTGACCTAAAAATTTTCAATCAATGCCTAATTTTCTCACTGAAAATTATATACACCAACCCATTTAATCAACATACAGACTGCATATATCTTTTATTTCATTTAAAATGATCAGATGATCTTGCTCAAGTATATCATCTGATAACTTTATTTGTAATATGAGAATCACCCATGTGATCAAATGGAAAAACATTTGGCATCAAATCACTATGAAAAGAAAAGGTATAATGTCAAATAAGTCTCTAACGTTCGATTAAATAATCATTTTAATCCTTTTTAATCATTTTAATTCAACGTTTTTTTTAAGATAAAAAACCTCTTAGATTTGACTAAATAATCACTTGATTTTTTTTAATATTTTGGTATCTACTGTTTCATTTTAGAAAGAAAATATGTATTTTAGAGCATTGATAATTTGTTGACTAACGGTTTTCATCTATGGAGTGATTTTTTTTATTCTAAAATAAACTATTAGATTAAAAAATGCTTAAACATGATGTTTAATATGAGAAATGCTTTTTCACGAGACAATCTTTTTACACTAAAATCAATGATTTTGCATTAGGAAATGCTAGAAGGCAATGCTTTTATAAGTATTTGTATACTTAAATATATTTTTAACATTGTATTAAATTTTATATTACATATTTTATTTTATTTTTGAATTAGGGGCTTATTTTTTAATTCGACTCGACCCAAAAAATAGTCAAGACTGGCCATACGGGTTCATTTTCTGAAATGAAAGTGTTTTTCTAAGTTAAAGATTATTTTTTCTCATAAGTTAGAGATTATGTTTTTCTCATAATAAATTAAGAGAAGCTTTTCTAAGATGAAATTGTTGAAAAATTACTTGAGGCTAACAATGTCACAAGAAATATTGAATGAGTTGCCTATGTTATGTAAAAAAAAAAAGATGTTGAAAAATATTGATGTTGACGCTATGATTTTGTTTCAAAAAATGCTCGGAGACAATATTTTCTATAAATTTTTGTGCTTTAATATTTTTTTGACATTTTTGAGATGATAATCAATTACTATTTGTTTATTTTAATAAAAAAAATTAATATCAATTTTATACTATATATTTTTTTAAAATTAGGGGTCTCTTTCATTTATTTCGCCCCAGGCCAGAGTCGGCCCTGGTATAGAGTATGGGTGTCATTAGGGTGCATTTTCCGGAAGTGAGAGTTGGGACTTTTGAACCAATGAATATGCGTATCATAAAAGTTACTATGTTTGAGATTCGGTAAATGAATCTGTTAACGTATGTACCATCCATAGATTATTGGGTTTTATACTCTGAAATCATAAAAAATGTTAAATATCCTATATAAATTAATTGTGAGAAATATCCTTATATTATGGTGACTATCATAAAAGTTACTATGTTTGAGATTCGGTAAATGAATCTGTTAACGTATGTACCATCCATAGATTATTGGTTTTTATACTCTGAAATCATATATAAATTAATTGTGAGAAATATCCTTATATTATGGTGACTATATATGTTATATTGTCTAATTTCTTTACTAAGTTTATAAAAAACTTTTTTTTATTAAGTCAAGGTGATTACAATTAGTATATGTTCTAAATATACTCTCAATCATTTCACAATGAATGCTCAATCACCTGCTGCAGTCGCTGGTGCTAGAAACGGTGACCTCTAGGAACATCAACAATTCTTTTAATCATTGAGGTAAGACGGTTCGTGCAAGTTTGTAAAAATTTATTTCGTGTGTGTTTCGACAATTTTTATATATTATAGAGAAATACATTTAGATCAAGATCACATCAAGATAAAGTCACAAGTTAACCTCTTTTTAAACTAATTTCTATTTTGTTGACTTATAGTGTTGGTGGCATACACTATATTGTGTTTTATTAGTTTTCTTTATTACATCCCATTGCTACATGATCATGTAAGTATAAGCTTCAAATGATTTTGTAGCTTTAATTGTGGGTGTGAGATTATTCACATGTGTGCATGCATATGATAAGCCACGTTTAAATGCATTTTAAGCCTTCTTCTAAATTAAGAAAAGGACTAGGTTTCGAAACCAAAAGTTTAATTTCAAAACCCAAGTATCAAAATGGTTATGAGGTATCAAAACCTAGGTCCCCTAACCATCAAAAAATAAAGTCCTTGTAATTACAAACAAACAATGTCTCAAATTCACCAATACAACATAAGTATAGAAGTTCTAGAAATCAATCGATACATATTATACAAATGTTATCATTTTTAAATGTGTTTATTATGAATATTAGTATGCAAGGATGATGCCTCACAAATGAGGATGGGGGCGGGGCGTGTGCTGTTAGAAAAGTGGCACATTAATCCGAGATAATATAGAAAATATTGATAAACAAATATCAAAGGAAACAAAGGGATAAAGAGATAGAACGGGATATTGTAATCCAAAGTAATAATTTGAGACAAAATGAATGATGAAAAAAACAACAATAAATGTTAAACTTCTCAGAAGATAAGATAAAATTAAATGGAAATAAAATATTCCTTTTTTTTGATCAATCGATCAGAATTAGTTGAGGCCTATTACTACACAGTTTCATTAAGACATATTTTCGGCAACTCTTTTGGTGCTCGAGTTCGTTGATCGTTTGTCTCCCCAGGATACAACAACTTGATGATCAACTACAATAACACAACAATAAAGATCACAAACGATCCTTGCCTTCGACTATCACCGGAAAACTAATGGAAGAGAAGTTTTTCTCAGATGAAAAACTTGTGAAAAACTCATGTAACTTATTGTGTTTAACCTAACAGGTTAACTCACTATTTATTGGGGATTTCCAAGAGAGATTTAATCCAACCATATATCTTTTAATAATTAAATGTAAATAGATAATAATATATTTTAATTTGAAATATTAAACATATATACACTCCTTTTATTATTCAAATAAACACATATTGTTTTAATTTGAAATATACAAAATTATATAATTTTTTTTAATATTCAAAGTTAAAAATGTAACACATACCGTTTTAAATTGACATAGTAAAAGAATAATTATCTTACTAATATTCAAATTAAATAATATCTTTTAATTTATAGTATTTAAAAAAATTAAAATTAATATAAATATTAAATCTATCAATTAAATTTATTTATTTATTTATTCTCCTATCTTCACACTATTGGGTATGAAGTGCGAATCCCCATAAAACTCACCTCACTGGCATCCTTAAATCTAACCATAAATTGTAGTTGCATTATCATTAGCATAAAGGAAAATCAAAACATTTAGAAACACACCAAAAGGGTATTTAATCTCGAGTTGAATGTAATTAACTTCAGAAATATGAAACAATAGCACACACCCTAACCCAAATATGTCTCTTTTAGGTTTTATAAGAACATCAAGTAATCAACGATCCATTCTTCATCCCTTCAATGCTCTATCTGCATGTTTTTAATCAAGACAGTAGTAGTGTCAAATTATGTTAAGAAAACTAAGATGATTGTTATATGTATGTATGCATGTATGTATGCGTGTATGTATGTATGTATGTATGTATGTATGTATATGACGAGTAAATGGTGATGATGATGTACCATGGCAGTTAAAACTAGACATTTGAATATTGAGGGTTGGGCTGAGCAAGCTGGAGCTGATAGGAGAATTGTTGAGGAATGATTGCAACCTGAAGCACACTACTAGGCTCTCCTCCTCCATAGAATCTGGGGAATTCATCAACAATTTGCTGATGCTCCACTGCCTTTGCTTCCATTCCTCCCTGTTGGTACTCCATTGCTGCTCGGTGTTCTTGAATCTGTGTGGTTCGTAAGAATTCTTTTCTCCATTTCATCACAAAACTATAATTTGAATTTGCTTACTTACCCAGCGGTACATGTTGTTTTCTTCCTCAAGAATTCGTTCCTACACCATAGAAAAAATCCAAGATTAATGGAATTAGCCTTTGATATCTTAAAGTGTATGTAATAATGTAAACTCGTATATTGTTCTAATTGGCATCACCTTTCTACCAAGGTTATCCAGTTGCAGGGCCGGTTTTGGGCCTGTGCGGGCAGCCCAACCGCACATGGCCCAATTTTTGTAAGGCCTTCAAAATTTTTTAAGTCTTTGTGTAATGTGTATTTAGGATGTTTGGCCCAATAATTTTCAAGTCCAAGCTCACATTAAATAATATTTGACGATCAATTTAAAAAACTCTAATAAGTAAAACTTAGATATATGCCTCTACTCTCCTCTACATAAACACCTTGCAAAGTAAAAAAAAACCACAAAATCTATGCGCTCTCCTCTCCTCTGCGATTGTGACTGCACTTTTCTCTTTTCCAAGGTTAGTAAATGTTTTTATTATTATTTTATTTTGTCAAGATTATTATTTTTTTATTTTTAGTTTATTAATAAAAATAAAAATAATTAATTATTTATGTGTGTGATGTTTCAGTGTTTGCCTCTCCTCTGCGATTGAGACTGCACTTTTATCTTTTTCAAG